GCTCGTGGGCACGGAGTGCTCCGCCGCCGCTATGTCCCACTCGGTGGTCCTGCGTGGTCCCTCGCCATGGGGTTTTCGCTTGGTGGGCGGTAAAGACTTCAGTGCTCCGCTGACCATCTCCAGGGTGAGCCCGGGCGCGGAGCGGAGCCGGCGGCAGCTGATGGGGAACGGGGCTGTTGGTACTCGGGGCTAGCGGTCAGCATCGCTTGGGGGCTTTTTAAACCGCTGTTACTATCTATACTCCCAAATAGAGGCAAGTAAGCGATCCTCTCTGAACACAGCGCTGTCTCAGCTGTGCTAGCACAGAGCTGATAGCCTTCTCCACGCTTTATTTTTTGGGGGGTGTTAAAATCATAAAGATAGACTTCCAAAGTTTTCAGTCCTCAGCGCTTGGACTTGTGCCCTGGACCGAGTTCACAGGCTGTTGGGGTTTTTTTAGGCAGGCACAAGTAAAGTCAGCAAGAAGTTTCTCTGTGCAGGCTGCTGCATTATGGGGTCCCTGCGGGCTGGTAGTAATTACTGTGTAAGTGTGCTCGCACTTGCGTTTAACCTCACAAAGATGTATTTCTGGAAACTTCTTTCCTAAGGTGGTTAGCTTGAAATAGTCTTTGTGTGTAGATAGATGTGAAAACAAACCGTCCCCCGTGCAGGAAGGAGCACGGTGATGTGGTGTGATGGGTTAGGTGATGGATGAGGTGCTGCGACCAAGCCGGGTACATTCTCGCAGACACTGGTGCTTCCATCACCGTCGGCTGGCCTGGGAAGGGGCTGGAGAGCTGAGGCTCCCGTCCTTCCACAGCGCCTTGCAGTGGTGTGGTATTGCTGGGCTCTCCTGGGTAGCTGCTGCCGGAGCGCTTGAACAAACCCCAAGAGCATTGAAAAGCTTTGAAAGGAGCTGTAAGTTAAAAATACTGTCGTAACGCATCCAAGCTGTTTGCTGTCTCTTCGTTCATCTGCCAAAGCTGTGATGGAAAAGGGAAAACGCATTCCCTGAGTTTTAAAGAAGTAATTATGGAAGAGATCATATTTTAAAGAGGCTCAGTTTGTATTTGGGTCCCAATGCATCTATTACACAGCTTTATGTCTCTGTTTTTACTTTGCAATGTCCCTTAGCAAGTGTTCCAGCGAGAGTTTCTTTGGGGGAGCAGCAGGAGATGGATGGAGAGGAGGGAAGACCAGGGCAGTGCAGGGAGCAAGGGCTGGCTGTGCTGCGAGGGGAGACGCTCGGCTTCTGGGGCTCAGCCTGCGCCTTCTGGGCGCGGGGATGTCCTGTTTCTCCCCCAGTAACGTGGGATGTATCACAGCATAACACAAAATCACCTCTTGGTGCCTGTGAAAGTGTTCCTTGCGTGGAAATGAATATCCCAGTTGAGCGGAGGGAGCCTCTTTTCCTGTTACTTTGAAAAAAGAAGTTTGGTTTAATATTAAACAAGAAAAAACAAAGTCTGCTTCTGCCTAGGCAGGTGCCTTGCCAAATTCCTTGTTTGATTCAGCAAACCTGGGAGGTGTGAGGCTCATTCTCATCAGGACAGGCTTGCTTTGGATCACAACGAGCTGTAACACAAGCAGGGCTCACAGGGTGTTATGTCATGGTACTGAGTGTGGCAGCCTTTACATTAAGATTCTTTTTCACTTCTGCTCCCGCTGAAGAGAGGGGTGATGCTCTGATGTGCTGCTGCTAACTGCTGCTCTGGGGGGTGATAAACAGCGTGCTGGGATGTAAATAAGGGTGTATGGTGCTCAGCTTGGGCTCCGGTCTCTTAAAGCAAGGAGAGACCTCACTGGCTTTGCAAATAGCACCAGAAGATGTTAAAACTGGGGAAGAATTAGCTTCTGCTGCAGCTCCCAGCTGTGGGGATGTGGGAAGGGGCTTGCTTGGTGGTGGGTCCCTCCAGCCCTGTCTCTGCAGAGGATGGAGCTGGTGTAGTGCTGTATTCACTTTTATTCTGTCATTGTCTGACCAGGAAATCTGTTCTATCCAGCTTGAATCCCAGGATGGGCTGCAGCAGGAGGGAGGGAGGCTCTTGTAGTCTAATTGCTGAGGCTTCTGGCTGACTTGTGCTTCCTTCAAAGTGCTTTTTTTGTTTGGTTGGTTTGATTGTTTTATATTAAAATGTCATTAAATTACAAGCATATTTTGAAGAGCAGGAATTCTGCCGGGAGGCAGGACCAGGGTCTGGGATTCACACATCCATCTGTGTGCCAACGTGCTCTGGGTGTGCTGGGCTGGATGCGGCTTTGCTGTGCCCCACTTGTGTGCTCGAGGGGGGCTTACAGCTCTGCGAGCATCCTACCTGCACTGGTTACCTTGGGAAGTCATAGGCTGCAGTTTGGGATTTGAGGCATCCAGAAGCCACCCACATCCAGTCCTGGGTGCCTGAGGCTGGCTGTCTCCTTATGAAACAGCAATTCATCTGTGCAGGGGTCAAAGAAGAATACTTGGTCACTAGTAGGCTGGTGTTCTCTACTCTCTGTTCAGCTACTACAGAAACAGTTTCTCCCCAAACCTCTCACTACCTCTAACTGGACACTAGAGATGTGTTGGAGCCCCAGGAGCTACCGCAAGTGATACTTCGCTCTCTGCTGGGGGAACCCTAGAGGGTGCAGCTTCTTGTGCAAAGCCTGTCTGATGTTGTTGGTCTGGGTTGAGTGCAGGCAGAGTTCCTTGATGTTGTGTTTGTGGGATGTGAAGTCCAAGTGTCGCTGCTAGAGAGGAGTTAAGGAAGCCATCAGGAGGAAAGGAGCTGCTGGATGGGGCTGAGCTGAGCAAGAGGCACAGTGATGCAGCTAAACACTGTGCAGGGGCAGGTCCCCAGAAGTGGCTTGTGGTAGTGTTGTTAAAAGGATAAACTTGAAAAAAATATCTATTTGGCAGCAAGGAAAGGAAGGATCACACGATTCTGCTTTGGAATAGGATTTGACTTGCTTTCCAGGACTCACTGTAACCCCCTGCACTGCACTTGTGCAGGTGGTAATGCTGAGCCTATCCCATGCAGATGTTTCAAATACACTCATGAAATCAAGCAAAGATGGATTTCTCTTGGAAGCAGGTCACTTCCCTCTGTGGTTTGAACAATCTTAGGTGCCAAGTGGTAAAGATCTGATTGCTCAAGTGGCTGATGCTGAGCCCTAGGGAGGCCACACTTGGAGCATCAAGTTCTGCACTTCTAAAGATAAGGAAAGACAAATGCGAATCCAGAAGGGAGTGTTTAGGGCATCTTTCTCATGTGGTCACACAACAAGATGGGTGTGCTGGCCAGCCTTCTGTTCCCTGTTTCAGCTTGCATTTTGGGGGGACCCAGACAAGCAGGACTGGACTTTGCTAGGGTGGTTTTGGGGAGACACAGCTCTGAGGTGCTGTAGCAGCCACAAACAGGAGTGATGCTGGTACAGTGCTAAGAAGGGAATTGTAGCCCCAGGCTGTGCTCTGGGGAAGAAACCCAGCTTGTTTTATACCCACAGTTAAGTAAGCTAATGCCAGGTGTAGTACACTGTAATTAATGGTTCCTTCTCCTAATTATATTTATAGGGGAAGGGGAATGACTCAAAACATCTGCTGAGAGTTGGCCTTAATACCTTGATAGAAAGTGGTTTTAAGACTTAATTAAGCTTCTGGGAGCTGACAGCTGCTTTTCCTTGGTTGAGCAGGTTAACAACTGGGTTCTGTGTTTGCCCTTAGTGGGAAAGGGGATTTACTGTGTCTCTTACTCCAGGTAGCAACAACATTGCCTTTGAGCAGCAACCGGGGTTCAGGAACAGCAATGGAATAACTTACTCAGCTGCTCTGCGTTGTGCTTGTAACCATGTCAGTGAGTGCTGCCGCTCTGTGTGGGATCACATTGATCTACCCCTTGCCTGGGATTAAAAGATAATCATTCATTAGTGTAATGAGAGGAGCTGAATGTGTTTAATCACTTGAACTTGTTTGTCCAGCTCCTAGAGCAGTCTATATTGTCATCAACCCAGCTCTGCCAGTGCTAAGCCAAGCACTTGCTGCTGTTAGAATCATGGATACATAGCTTGGCTAAACACATAATTGTCAAATGGACTGAATCCAGAATGGTTTCTAAGCTTTTACTGCAGTTTTCCCTGTATCTGCTGCCTTCAGCATCACTTCACCCACTGGGCTCTAGCATTTTTCAATGCTGGCTTGGAACTGTAACACAAGAAGGGCGAGAAATAATTGGTCTGCAATCCATTATCCAGGTATTGTTTGAGTTAAGGTTGACTTTTAAGCTGAAGTAGCTTTTGTATTTGAGCAAATACGTGTCCTGTTAAAGGTCAGGATACTCGAGAAGGAATTCTGCGGAGGGAGGAATTCCAGTAAAAGTGGTCTCGTTGATTCTCTCTGGGCAGCCGGCAAATGCCCGAGTGCGTTGCTGTGATCCTGCCTGAATGCTGAGAGTTCCCACTCGGACTAGTAATTTCTGAGGCGTGTTCTTGCGTGCTCTGGGGTGGGGATGGCAGAGCACAAGGGCTGGGCAGGCTTCCTTACCCCGGGAACTCCACGCGTGGTGGCGAAGGCAAGAACCGGAGATGCCAGCAAAGGGAACGGGGCTTTTTGCTTTGCTTTCCATCCGGGTTGCTTCCTGGCTTTACATGAACTTGTATGGATTTGATTGTTTATTAAATGGAAGTGATGCATTTTGTGCAGCTCTCCCAAATGGGCTGAAGTATTTTGTCTGTGTTGATGAACCCCCAAACTAGGGCCCCAGCAGATTTCTGCTGACCTTTTGTTGGTTTATTGCCTGGATAGACGCAAGTGATGGTAGCTGTTTCTCAGCCGGTTGCATATTAAAGCTTGTTAGCATGTAATAGTTCAAGTTAGATGATTTTAAGTGGAAGGAAATAGTTTCTTTTCTGTTCTCATGGTTCTCCCAGTGATTGCTTGTTGTGAGGTCTGGAGTGAGGGATCTGGGTGGTTCCACTTGAAGCTGTAGTGGTACTTAACAGTTAATCTGAATTACAGGTAAGAACTAGCAAAAGTATGTAACAAATAGATTTGCTGCTGAAGTTATTCTCTCGCTGAGGCTTTATTTAATATCTGAAAGAGAAGAATAAATGCTCGTGCTGGTTCAGGAGACAGTAATGGTAGAATATGCTGGAATGAAAGGCTAATGCTAA